GTGCTGGTCAACTTGCACTCGCATTGAGAGTGCTTGTGTTGAGTGAGTGTGTGTTGTGCCTTCCCACTCTTTGCTTTAGAGAAGGGGCACGGCCCTGGGTATGCGCCCTGTCTCTCGATCGTGACTGCCAACGCCACCTTACGTGTCATACAACAGCATCCTACAGGATCATCAATTATTAACATCCTACACGTCATTCAACAACGCATCGACCAACTTAGAATTTACATGTCATCGTGCCTCATATCGATCAGGTGGTGCGTCACCCGTGATATCATATCACATCGTATCATTGACATCCTCATCATATTTACCATTCCACATCCTACATCATGTCACATCATCACATGTGGGACGAGGGAGATTTGGGTGCCGTGGGGTGTCATGTCGTTGCAGATGTGAGTGATCTTCGTCGCAGATCTGGTTGTTGTATGTAGTGCGTTACTCGTGGCTTTTAGTGCACGAATGGTTCCTGCATGCAAAGTTGGTGCACTGTTGCGAGCCGCGGGCTCGAGTCGAGCGCGCCTGCGAGATCATCGGTAGTGAGCGTAGCTCAGCCGTTGTTCACTCAGCTGTTCCCATTCAATTCGTTTGGCGAAGTGGCCAATCCTCCAGCGCGGGACTCGGGCCATGTCCACTCGGACCTTCCACGAGGCTGTGGAGGCGTCTTTCGACAACATTGCTGTGCAAGCGGACGGCGCGGCAGAGAAAGCTATCCTGAAGCCTGGCGTTGAGGGCTTGCATGTGTTCCTTGAAGGGCGTCGCGCCGATGGCGCGAGTAGCGGCGTGAGTGCCGAAGCGGTTGCAGTGGAGTCGCTGAAGAAGATTCTCGAGAGCAGGGGTTGGCCTTTCGACAAATCGTTTGGGAGGGCCGATTTGACCACGCTGCTCGAATCGCTGGGTGAAGCAGGCTCTGACGGCGAGGACTTGGCGGAGGACATTTCCAGTTTGGTGGATGATCTGCACTCTCGAGCGGCGGCGAAGGAGTTCCCGCTCATTCGCCCGATAGACTTGCGAGCGGACGACGAGCAGAATGCCGCCGAGGAAGCCATGAGTCTCGTGGAGAAGCTGGATGCTGTGCAGACTCAGAGCTACATTGATTTTCAGAAAAAGGAGTATTTTAAGAATAATCCTGGAGATCCAGCGACGTCGATTGACGAGAAGCATGCTCAGTGGGCACTCAATTTTTACTACAAGCACGTGCGTGATTTTCTCGCCAAGCAGTCGCTTGATGCCAGGACATTTGCTCACCGGTTTGCCCAGTCAACGTTCATCCCGCTGATCTCCCCGCAGTCGATCGGTGACGGGGAGAAGAAGGCTTTCGCTCGTGAGGCCGCGTCGGCAATGAGGCCTGAATTGTTGGAGTTGCTGGACAAGAATGCGTGGTCAGCTTGGGAGGAGATGGCTGAAGTTGTCGAACTCAGTGGGGCGGACGCTCATGATAGCTTCAGAGAGTTTTTGGAAGAGGACTACTTCCGCATTGTGCGCGAGACCTGCGATGCGGGTGCGCACCAGAACGCGGGGACTGGCTTAGGCGTGCCCGCGGCGTTTCGGCCGTTGGTGGGCCCGGGGCTTGGAGTCTCCGCAGACGAAGCAGCGGAGCGTAAAACACTCCCCATGAAGGCATCCGCGGCTGATCACACTTTCGCCGTGACGGGAGTCACGGAGCAACACAGCCAATTTGTGCAATCGCGCACGGCCAAGCAGAAGAAAATGCTACCATCGGAGCCACCAGAAAAATTTGCGGCATCTCGGTATTACGCCTTATTGCGGGAAAGCGTATCGGAGGTTCGTCCTGGGGACTCTGTTCTCCGACACGCCGAGGAGAGCGCCGTGGCCCATGGATCGACGCAACTTTCGGATGCGGCTTCGACTTCTGCTTTGTCTGGCATTGATCTGATTCTATCAGGGCAGGCGTTTGGTCCGACGTCGTCGGCGTCCGAAGAGATATTCCACAAATCTGCGCTGGCAATTCCCCAGTCTTCCGAGGAGGTGGCAGGTGTCATTTTCAGGGCGTTGTAATTGTATGCGACAGTAGTCCTCGCGATGTACATTGCGCAGAGGGTTCTCCGCGGAAGCGGAAGGATCCGTCTTCGGAAGGGAAGGCGGCCGACGTGGTCATGGTGGACAAGACGGGGCCCACCTGCGCGTGCTTATGGGGTGACGCCGCTGAAGATATCTGCAGCATCTGGCGCGCTGTACAGGAGCGTCGCCATCGGGGCGATGTTGCTCCGTGCGTCGTGGACCTGTCCAAGGTTCGCATCCAGGGAGCGGGGGAGAACAATTGGAATGGGGAGTTGCTGACGCGGATTCGTATGTTGACGTCTATCGAAGCTGTTGGCGGGGAGATGGGCACGACAGCGCAGGTTCTGTCTGGTCCGACGTCGGAGAATCTCATCCAGATGAGGTATGCGGTTCCACCTTCGGATTGTTGCGTTTCCGTCTTTCGTTCTCTCCGCAACAAATTAAACCCTCCATTCCGGTTGTCGGTGAAAGGTAAAGTGATGGATCTGCAATCGCCCAAGATGCCCCGAAGACAGTTCCAGAAACCTCCAAGACGTCCCCAGGATCCCTCACGACACTTCCCCAGAATGCCCAAAGACTGACAAATAGACCCACTCCCTCGGGAAAACGTATATTTTCAGCATGTTCGTTTCTTGGGCCTTCACAATGTCCAAGACGGCCCCAGAGCTCCCTAAGGCACGCCAACAGGCCCCCAAGAGGGCTCCAAGACGGCCCCCGAAGGGCCCAAGACGGCCCAGGAGCGCCACAAGACGACCCAAGTCCAGAGCCCAGACCGTACAAGACGGCCCAAGAAAAAGCCAAGAGAGGCCCAAGAGGCCCCCTAGACGGTCCAAGAGGGCCCCGACTCGCCGAAACATCGCTCCAAGCCGCCCAAGATGCCCCCAAGACGGCTCCAGAAGCCTCCAAGACGTCCCCAGGATCCCCATCATCATCTCGCTCTCACCCCCCCCGGATCGGCGGCACTGGCCAGAAGCCAGCCCAATACGTTTCTTTGGGATTGTTTCGTAGGTACCCCTTTCCTAATACAGTTGAGCTCCCGTGTTTTTCGTTTCTGTTCTCTGTAGTGTTTGGCTAAGATGTACAGGCGTACCGAGGGGCCACCAGAACTTCCATCTGCCATGTGACATGTGTTGAGCTTGTCAAACCTCTCTGGCTCCATGCTGCTTTGCTCGGCTAGCTTGTGCTCCCTCGTTTGTTCAACAGGAGTCCCTGGACTCCTGGCCTCGGCTACGGGGGCTTCCTCGCTGAGAGCCGTCGCAGGAAAGACCCAAGAGCTGGCCTGGGAAGAGCCTGGGCGAGCTACGTAGACTTGTGGGGCGCAGAGTGCCTCACTCAGCGTGGGCGCCTGCAAGAGGCCGCCTGAAGCTGCCTCTCCACCACCCTCTCGAGCTCGGTCTTGGGGGCTCGCGCTCACGCTCAATCCGTGAAGCCCTTGCAAATGTTTGAAAGAATGAGCGCGGCGCTAAGGCGAGAACCACATTTTGAAAAGGAGCCGCCCTCAATCCGCGAAACGCTTGCCAATGTTGGAAACGAATGCGCGCGGCGCTGAGGCGATAACCACAAATTAAAAACGGCCCGCCCTCCATCTGTGAAACGGTTGTCAATGTTTAAGCATCAGGGTCATGAGTGGTGAGGCAGTCTCCGGCGAAACGCCCGGACCGCCCTCAAAACTGGCCTCGGGGTGCGACGGGGAGAAGTTATGTATAAGGACAAGGAATGGAGGCCGAGGAGGCGGAAGAGGAGGAGGAGGACGAGGAGGAGGAGGAAGAAGAGGAAGAGGAGGAGGAGGAGGAGGAGGTTTTTTTTGCTGCGAGAACGATGCGTGGCGGTCCCCGCCCCAGCTCGCCACAGGAGAAAGAGGATGGGCGGGCACTCCGCCACGGGGTGCCGTCCCACCCCGTCCTGCCTCAGTCCATGAGGCACTCCCAGAAAGCGTCACACTCCTCCTGTACCAGGGAGCGCGGTACCGCTTCGAGGGAGACCTTCACTGCGTAAGGATTCCTGCCTCGGCGCAGGAGCGAGAGGCGGTACCCTGCGGTGGGGTTCGCAGGGGCCCCGACGCAGGCGCCCAGGAGCTTGCACCCCCTCTCGCTCGAAAAGACACCGCACCGATCGCAGAATGTATACTGGCCCACTCGGTGCAACTCGTGCCCTAGGGCCGCTCCACGGAGGGCGGGAGAAATGTCTCCTTCCCCTTCCCCCCGCCCCAGCCCGACTCCCCAACGACGATCCACCCTCATCTTACCCATGCAGGGTCTGCGCGCCAACGCGCGCCTGGTCTTGCTGGAGAAAGCCTTGCGGCCACACGTCGAGCATCGCCACGCCCCCCTCCTCCAGAGGAGGACGTGGGCTCGGGCCCCCTCGGGCGGTCCTTGCCGCCGTCTGCGGGCCCCGCTGGAGCCCGCGGCAGGCCTCCCCGTGGAATCCCCGAAATCCGCAGTCAGCCCCGTCACCCCCGCCACCAGAGTCAACACCGCCTGGACCTCCGCCGAGCGGGTGGTCCAGGTCTGGGCCTTCCACGGGGGGACCTCCTGCATGTCGGCCCCTAGGCGGGCCTCATTATCTGCCAATTGGTTCCCTTGAAAATCGATGAGGCTTTCGTGCGAGTCATCCTTCGGCCCGCGCGCATGGGCCTTTACCTTGACGGCCTGGAAGTCGCCTTCTTGGCTGAAGCTATCCTGGAGCTGGGCCCAGATCCTGCCCCAGAGGTCGGCGTGGAGGAGGAGGAGGAGGCGGAGGAGGAGGACGAGGAGGTGGAGGAGGAGAAGGAGGAGGAGGAGGAGGAGAGGAGGAGGAGGAGGAGGACAAGGTGGAGGAGGACGAGCAGGAGGAGGAGGAGGAGGACGAGGAGGAGGAGGAGGACGAGGAGGAGGAGGAGGAGGGGGAGGACGAGGAGGAGGAGGAGGAGGAGGAGGAGGAGGAGGAGAAGGAGCATGAGGAGGAGGTGGGGGCTACGCGGGCGGGGAAGGCGGCCGCCTCGGCGCGAGCCTCCTCCCGCCTCTCCAGCGCCGCGGCCTGCTCGGGGGCGGGCAGGCGGTATCCATCGGAGGCCTGGAACGAACGAACGAACGAACAAACTCCGGCATCGCCGGGAGGCCCGGCGCCCCTGCGAGGGAGGCAGGCGCGCCTGTGGCACGCAGGCCCTCTACGAAGGCCACTGGAAGCGGAATCGGAACATGAAGAGCCTCACTCAGGGCCACGCGTGCTCTATAAAATATTGCTCGTTGCTGGGTGGTCGCAACATCGAATCAGTCATTTTGGAGGCCTGGAACTGGGCACCAACAGCAACACGAAGGGTTGCCTCCACCAGGGGAGGATGATCCTGAGTGTCGGCGTTGGTGGTAATATTTCGGCCACCGAACAAGCCCGAATCTGCCCACCATCGCCGAGATCGGAAGCACCTTCCCTCGGTGGAGGCACACTGCCGATACTGGCGCTGGTGTCAACCTCTACGCCTCCGAAACCAGTTGCGCAGACTGCGGCCGGGCCCGACCCCCTCCCCCGCCAGGCGACGCCGAAGAGATCCCAGCGCACCCGTGGCGACCCTCGCGCGCGAAGCTGAAGGGCCGTGCCGTTGCCTGCGCCTGCGCGGGCGGACGAGCCTCTCTCGAGCACGGCCAGGTCAGCCCCATGCTCGAGGCCCTTGCAACAGGCATGGTGCGCAGCAAACTCCCTCCAGAGCTGGATCTGCTGCTCCAAAAAAAAACCTTCTGCCTCCACCAATTGAGGCCTCCTAGAGGAGGTCCGAGTAGCTGGGGTCGAAGGATCGAGTCGCATCGCCAATGTATCGCCGATGCATCGGCGACGTCGGCTATGCATTGGCGATGTCGTCGTGGAGAAGCACGGGCTCCACATCGAGCCGCATCATCGATACGTCGGCGATGCGGCGCGATCCTCGGACCCCGTCTACTCGGACCCCATCTACTCGGACCCCATCTAGGAGGCCTACAGTCGGGGCGTTGACCTAAGGAACCCTAAATAAGGAACGAGGCCCCTATTTTCCATACGTTAAACTTCGATTTCATATCGAAAACCTGAGGGAAACCTAAGGCAAGCTGCGAAACAATTAAGGAACACGGAGCCCCTCCCCAATGAAAAGGGTTCCTTCTTCAGCGCCCCGACTGTGGAACCAAAGCGCACTGCTGCCATCCTGGTCCAAACCCCGAGGCCGACTCCAAAGAACACATCCGGTGCCTCGAAAAACTTGCCGTCGCTCCGGGCGCCCATTCTGGGCGTGCCTTTTTGTTCGGTTTCGTGCGTGTGTTTTCCCGCTCCATGATCCAGGATGCTCCTCGACGGTCCTAGCCGAGGAAAAAACACGCACACGTCCGAGCGATGCCGAAAAAAAATAATGCGGAGGTCTTTCATTGTCTTGGGCCCCTTCTGGGCCCTTTGCTGGGCCGCGGGAGACCGTCAGGAAACGACTCGGGATGAGCCACAGGTCCTGGGGAGGTGGAGGTTGGGTCGAGAGGTCGGGGGGGCCGCGTCTAAGATATCGACACGCGGGTCGTCTGGAGACTTCTGCTTTCCTGGCTTCCCGGCCCCAGGGGAAACAACAAAAACTTTATAGCCAGCCTGAAGAGCCGCTCCCGGGGAAAGGGTCGAGACCCCCATGGGGAACTTCCTCCTCCCCAAGTCTCCGACGACGCATGTCGTTCCCAACCCAAGCAATTTTCCCCGAATTCGGACTCCGGGGGCCGTTATCGGTTGTCGGGCCCTGGGACCATCAAAAACAGATCCGGAAGAAAGACTTGCCCTGGGGAAGAGGTCAAAGGGGTCAGGACCTTGGCGCAGATCGGCAAATGTTAAAGTCATCGTCCTCCTCGCCCTCCACCTCTATTACCAGTCTGCTGATCCTGATATCAGATTCGTATATATACCCCCCATGATATCATATTCGTATATACCCGAGATAGCCAGCCGATAGCCCCCCCATGAAGGACGCTCCATCACACGCATCACCAGAGAATGCAGACATGTACGCTTGGCCTATCAACATGGGCTCTCTGTGTCGACATTGCAAAATGTTGTGGGAACGGGACGCGGCGCGCATCGCGCGCGTCCAATCCTCACTACACATCGTGTCCCGTCCCATGGGCCAGCCCCATCACGACCACTCGCATATGTGAGGGACATATGCGTACTAGCCTCCCTGCGCACGTTGTCAACCAATGGAATCTTTTTTTCCGCAACACCTTCACCTGTTCAAGATGCGGCCTGTTGCCGGCTTGCCTTCGGATTACGAGACTGTGCGCATGCTGTGAAAGGAATGGGGCCTGTGGAAAACAGGGCCGGGACCCCAAAATTTCCCCCGAATGCCAATTCTTCATCCCGAACCGTCCTTCACAGTCCTGGGACCAGGAGAAGAAGCCCTGGCAGCCCGAGAACTGCCCACAACCACCGAGAAACCCATCCTCAGGACCCGTGCGCTCAGAGCAAGCCCCGGCAGCCCGAAAACCAGCAACAAGCACCGAGAAGCCCGTCCTCAGGAC